ATTCAGTGATCTTTGTGGGGACATGAAAAATGCTCCCCACAATGTCAAAATAACAGTCTTTTATTACATTGTGGGGAACATTTGGTCCCCACAATGTAATATAAACATAATCCACACACACATGCACAAATTTATGCGGATTACGCAACATTTTAACATAGGTTAATCATATTTCCCCCAAAGAGTGACAGGAGTGCCTTAATCAAGAGACAAGGCGCTGTTTTTTGCAACAAGCGCTAAACAAATGTAATTCGAGGAAAGCTTGGTAATCGTAATGTAATTGATGTAAGGGCAAAAACGTTCCGAGCGTAACTACGAAAGCTGGCTTGAGTACCGGCGTTTGAATCTCCCCATGACAGCTGATCAATGCCTCAGAGAACCAGTGTCCCGTATGCCCACGATAAGATGGGAAGTGGAATTGATTGCTGCAAATAAAACTCCAATTAGACAAATAAAGAGCTTACAAGTGCACACGGACCGGCTGCCCGGGTGTATAAATCGTCCCCTGAGAAATGACCCCCCACCAAGGTAAATCTTTCTTAAACGTATACAAATAGAAACAGCATCAGGAAATCAGTGGCGGGAGACGGGACTCCACGCTCTTTAAAAATAAATTTGTTACCTCCCTGTTTGGTGAATCGGATGGTAAAACAGGCATTATGCTTGCAAAGCAGAAATCAGGAATTGCGTACATTTGACACTTACGTCTGAAACCTGGCGATTGGACTGGGAAGCGCTGGCTGCCCCCTGAAATCTGATTGGTTCTCCTAGTTGCCCCCCAGTTTTTGATTGGTCGTCAATCAAAGAACAGCAAGCTCAGTTTTCTAAGATACATGTTCCATAGCCAGATAGTAAAAAAAAAAAAATAAATTGCTTAAACCCCCAGTCATTTGGACAGATCTACCAAGGGGGATCTATGCCAGACAGACCACAAAATAATAATTCTGGTTACAGGCCTGCATAGATATTATTTTAGTAGTGCATGTGATTGCATAAATGTACACTAATCATAGGCATAATTATTGTGTAGTTTTTTTATCATTTTATGCACTTAGTAGAAAGAAGTCGGTGACAGCTTTAATTTTTCTTCTTTGGTTGCCTCCTCTGCCTGATAATACGGAGCCACCACTGTTGTACCCATTAAGGCACACTGCTTCCTGCAGCCTGCTCTGTGTTCCAGTGCTCTTTTCCAGTGAGATCTACTGTTCAGTCTTATGGCTCTTTCTCACAAGAGGTAAATTGCATGCTTTTCGCTCCTAGACAGGCAAATTAAATTAAAGATTATTGCTTCAAGTTCTTAAAAACACATGCTCTTCCATAATATCTCCTCTTACCTGTAATATCATTTCCCTTTGCTTATGATCGATAATCTGCTTGTCTCTGTATTAAATTTCCTGCACTGTACCTATCTATACAAAAATCTGACTGGGTTGAAGTCTTCAGTCCTGCATGGTGTACTGTATGTAAAAATCAGTATAAAAAATAATGCAGCTTATTTCACTGTTAAACAAAACGATCATAGCACTAGATTATAGGGATGGTACGGTTCATTGATTCGCATCAGTGCACTGGTACAAAAGTTTGTGATGTGACTGTCTCAAACAAGTACGCACTGGATACAATTTGGGTTAAACTAGGGATTTGTGGTTTCTAACATATTTGCATCGGTAAAAATTTGATTTATTAATAAAGAGCAGTGAGTTAAATCATTCTACTTTATTAATTTGTCATTTGTCACCTCCAGACTGTATTCACCATTGCCCCCCCCTCCCATCATACTGCTCTCCCCGCTGGGTCAGAACACCTGAAGTCAGGCTGTCACTATGGTTACGGCCAGTGCTGCTCCTGGCCCTGCACCTCCCTCACCGCGCCACGTCACATCACCAACATACTATAACGCAGCACAGACGGTCCTGGGCCTGCACCTCCCTCACCGCGACACGTCACATCACCAACATACTATAACGCAACACAGACAGTCCTGGGCCTGCACCTTCCTCACCGCGCCACGTCACATCACCAACATACTATAACGCAACACAGACGGTCCTGGGCCTGCACCTCCCTCACCGCGCCACGTCACATCACCAACATACTATAACGCAACACAGACGGTCCTGGGCCTGACCTGCCCTGTCCACTGGAGTTATCCAGACAGAGGCAGCACACGGCAGGGGTTACATAAAGGGATCATTTTTAGTAGAGGCCCTATGCCTTCATTATGTGACCAATATGTTTTGACCAATTTTATATTTAGATTCATTCCCCCTCTCTAAACTGTTTCTCAAACACACTCTCATCTCCATTTTTCCACTGCTGTCAGTGGCCAATTCTTTGCAAGTCTCTCAGCCAAGTCTTGCACGGGTTGGAGGAGTATCCAGCCTATCATGTCAAATAGCACTGCATCGCAAAAGGGGTGAATCGTATCATATTGCAATAGTAGTTACTTTATGTGTATCGTTAATGTAATGCATTGAGATGTGTATTGCATCGTCTCAGCAGTGGATGCACATCCCTACTATATTAACTTAGTACTTTGTTGATGATGCTAAAGTTATAACTGGGGTAAGAGATGAAACCTGGAGCCATGTGTATACTTCTTTACCTCTTAATAGGCTAATACAGAAGTACACTACAGTACACATTTTTGAAGGGTCATTCTGGGGCTAGTCAATCCTATAGGTGACACAGACAGCTGCCTTGAGCACTGCACTGATTCGCCAGCTGATTTCACTTTGCTTTGGATGTGGAGCCTCCAGTGGTGATTAAAACCTAGGGCGCCACATGGGCTAGGACCAGTACTGGATCATTTTGTGAGGTCAATCAACAAAATGATCTATCTTTTCAATAAACATATACTGTAGGCATGAATAGAAAAAAAGGAATTAGTTGTACCTCTGTTGTTCCAGTGTTACATTTTGACTATGGATCTGTTTGCCTGTATATCGCACTGGATTGGGAAGATCTGTGTCCCTTTGCATCTGCACAGTAGGTGAAATTGGTTGGGTGGGGGCTAATCTGTACAATGGTGGTTAAAACATCTCAGCTAAACAAACCATTCTGCGCTCATTCAGATTCATTCGGGACTAGTTCAGATTCATTCAGGACTTCAGTCTCAAATGCCTCAGGCATGTGACGCATCTGGGTGTGATTCTGAGTGCAATACTGGGTCCTGCTTCTTTAAAATCCAGTTTAAAAACCTGTTGCTGGATGAACTGCTTTACTATATGCGAAATAGCACAGACCCCTGAAGCAGAAACCCTTTTCTCGACATAGACCATGTGGCTGATTCAGTAGTCGATAATCCTGAATGTATTCAATTTATTTTTAAAAGCATAACTCACATTTCAAATTAAATTAACTTTTTTCGTTGGTCGTAGTTGCTTCAATTGACCTTATCGGACACTTTGAAAATGAATTAAGGAATGACTGAGTACCATATCAATGCTATTGACAAACGTTTGGATAAATGACTTTGTATGACTTTGTAATTGATGAGTACAGGCAGTAGCTGCACCACACTCACTCAGAACCAGCGAAGTAGGTATAAGTTACACTATTTGCCATTTTTAATATGATCTTGTTGCTGTGCTTCTCCTCTGAAAATCAAATCTGTGATTAATCGGTTGTCATTTGTATGGAAACACTTGTCTATTATGGGAATTTGTGTACTTATAACTAACATTTGGGTACGTGAGTGAGAGATTAAAAAGTAATGAAGCAAGAGGTAGAGACAGAATGATTTATTATAAATATTAGGCCTAATCCTTCTAATGTGTATGTCATTATTGTTTCCTTTAAAGTAAATGTGTGGGTTTGCATGCTTTCCCTATAATTGCGTGGGTTTCCTCTGCCCATCGTTTCCTCCCGCAGTTCACAAACATACAGTTAGGTGAATTGGCATTTATGTATTGTCTTTAGTGTGTTGCTTGTGTGTGTGTGTTATGCTTATATTTCATTGTGGGGACCAAATGTTTTCCCCATAGAAATGAATGGAGAGTCCCCGCAAATATATGACTACAGGTCTCTGTGTGTGTGGATTAGGTTTATATTACATTTTGAGGACCAAGTGTCCCCCACAATGTAATAAAACCTGTTTTTTTACGGCTGGGTAGGGGTTAAGGTCGTCATGGTGGGATTAGAGTTTTCCCCATAGAAATGAATGGAGAGTCCCCATTGTATGGATGGATGGAAATTCAGTGGGAAGATACAGAAATGTGACTACATTAGGAATTAAATTAATGTGTACCCTGATACAGGACATGCTGGATGCAGATGAATGTCAAATGGTAAATAAAACCGACACACAGCGACACAAGTCTAGAGCTATACACCCACAAAGGGCCACTGGAAAAAAAAATAAAACCCACATGTGTAAATTAAAGTGTGTATTGATTTCAGTGTCTTGTAACATGAAGCTGGTTGAGTGGCTGCTCTGGAGGACATTAACCAGCGCATGACCAATGCCTGCGCTACATTTAAGGTCTTGTAATGTAAATCGCCTGAGTAATTTTCATGGGTGTTGTTGCTGCAATAACAGGACAGTATTGTCATAAATATTTCAGTGTTTGCTGACCGAGGAACAGATTTCACATGCTGGGTAGTAGATATCACACTAGTGTGAGGAAGCGCTCAGGCCAGGAAGCATAACAGCATACGGGAGATCTCTGGACATCATCATTTCTACATGCGCCGGCAATTTATTATTATTTTTTTCTTTCCTTAAGTTTTAGGTCAGGACTGATTTCAGAAATACACATAATGTCTTTTGCAGAAGGATCTTTGATAAATGCATTGCTAAGTAGAATTTTACATTAATTCAGAATTCTATTAATTACATATGGCGTTATCTTTCTGTTGGCTTGTTAGGAGGTTGGTTTATTAAATATTATTGGACAATGAATTAAACACTCATTCTGTTATGTTTTGATACTATTAGGATATGGCCAGTGTGCTCAGTGTTTCTGAGTCTCTCTCCCTTGTACCCTCCATATCCTCAGGTGCAAGGACTGGAGAAGCAAGTGACCAAGTCCTTGGATTACCTGGAATTGGGGCCAGCTGGCTCCATGATGAAAACCATTCCCTATGGTATGGGCAGAGTGGGGGAAGGGGAAGGGGTAAAAGCCATAGGAGTGAAGCCACCGTACCAGACATCTGGAATCTTCTCCACTATGGACAGCACCCCCTTGAAGTCCAAACCCCCCAGCTACAGCTTTCTGAACCCATATGACTTGGCCCGGAACCAGTCGCTCCACTTGGACCAGACAGGCTATCGCTCCAAGCGCAAACCTTTACTGAAGACAGGTATGAAATCCAAGAAGATATTTGGCTGGGGGGACTTCTACTTAAACATCAAGACAATAAAGTTCAGCCTTATAGTGACGGGCAAGATAGTGGACCACGTCAATGGCACATTCGGCGTCTATTTCCGCCACAACTCCTCCAGCTTGGCCAATGTGTCCATCAGTATTGTCCCGCCCTCAAAAGTGGTAGAGTTTGACGTGCTCCACCAGCAGCAGCTCCATCCTGATCTCCAACTCCAGCAGCAGCAGCAATCCACCATTGACCCCAAAGAGATAAAGACCTTCAACTGCCGGGTGGAACACCAAAAGACCGACCACAAAGTAAAACCCAAGCCCTGCCTATACAACCCTTCTGAGAATTGCTACACAGAACATACAGAGTCGCAGGCAACCTGGGTGTGTGCCAAACCTTTCAAGGTCATCTGCATCTTCATCTCCTTCTGCGGTAAAGATTACAAGCTGGTACAGAAGGTATGTCCGGACTACAACTTCCAGAATGACCACCCCTACTTTGGATGAAGGCTGATGGGTAAGAGAGGCTGGCATAAATAAAAGGAGCTGTGTAGTCTTCACACCTCTCTACAATTACGTGGGATAAAAAAACAAGGAGGTTAAGAGGTGCAATGACAACATTTCAACTGATTTCTAAAATGACTCAATTATTTGTATTGCTTTCATTTGGATTATTTTCTGTACATCAGCTCAGCTTTTAGAAGTTACTCATTAATATTGTTGATATTTGAGGAATCTGAAGCAAAGAGGCAATAAAATGGAATCAAACTTTACTGTAGCCTCTCACCTTGGAAATCCTTTGTTTTTTTTTTAATTAAGAAAAACTATACCATGTGTGGCATTAAAATAGTGAGAAGTGTTTTGGTTTAGTGATTTTCGCCATCCTTGTTTCACTCTTGAGTTCCAGAAAGGAGCGGCGAGAGACTATGACAACTCACAGCTGGAAAATAATGCTACTGTTGCTATTATGTGTAGAAAATAATAAAGACAGGATATGCATATATGAAAATGCCCATTAAAATGTATTAAACTGTTGGCTTTGGGTCTTTGTCCAAGTTAACTGGCGACTTAGCATGCGGTTTTGAAATAAATGTCTCAGCACTAAGCGATGTCATTGCACACCCATTAATGGCACATGGAAATGGAAGAGAATGCAAGCTGTTTAAAATGAATATGTTTCCAAAGACACTATTAAAGAGACTGTAAAAAAAAGAAGAAAAAACTACTGTTAGTAATAAGCCAGCTGATAGATGATATGAAATAAAGAGAGAACTGATCTTATGTGAGATTCAAATAAAATATGTCTGATTTATGCATTTCTTGTAAAATATACTGTCAAATGAAATGTATTTTTGAATAATAATCAACCTTTATTTGACTACTACTGATTTTAATGCATGCTTTGGATCCATTTCTCTTAACCACAAGACTTAAGATTAAAGATCATACAAAATGCATATTTATTTATGAATGTATACCATTCACAAATAATTTTTTAACTGAAAAACAGAAACAGTATCAATATCCTCTAGTGAAATCAAGTCATTTTTAATATTATTAATTATTAACACGTTGCAGTTTTAAGGATTGTTAATAAAGTGATGTTTTGCTTTCTTTACCTACCTACCTTTCTACAAAATCATTTTTAAGTATGTTCTCTTGTGTTGGATAATAGGGAGGTTTCCCTGCAATGTTTTATTAAGTAACCCAGTTAATGTTCAGTTGAATCCTCTTTTCTTCATTTATTATTTGATTGACACCCCTAGATCTCAAACCCTGGAGCTCTGTTCCAGTGCAGTCCCCTCACAACACCCTGATATTGCTACACTTTCTCTCCCGTCTGGAAAATACTTAGACTGTCAGATTCAACTTTTCATGTCTGCTACCAGGAGGGGGACTAAAGGCTAGAATTGGGGGTGGGAGCCTTTAAGATGTGCCTGGTATTACGTGTGTGCTGAATTTTAAAGTGATCTGCAGCCGTCTATCTGGAAGTTCGCAGTTAACAGAGGGTATTGACTAATTCACGAAATAAAATGGAAAATATTAATTCTCATTCTGTTATTATTGTCAAAAATGTTCAACCTACTATAATGCCATGCTCCGTGTTAAAAATGCAGATAGTCCTACACGTAATATGGCTTATACACGTACAGATTTAATGTGGTATTATTATTTCAAAACTTGGCATAATTTAAAATGAAACACACAAAAAAAAAAAACTCATAAAGACGACATCCCTATCTTTTGAACTGTGAATGATCTTATTGCTCAGCTACGACAGAATCGTGCTTTTCTGTTCAGTTTTGTCTTATACTCACCGGCAGAAAACATTTTCCTTTGTGCCAGTGTTAGCAAGCTGCACTTTTGTAGTGCAAAAAATACATTAATAAGAATAAATGATTTAAAAGAGTCAGGAAAATAATTCTGTAAAACATAGGCCTATGCAAGCAAAGGAAAATAAATGGTGTTGTATTTTATATTTATCGGTTATCGTCTATTGCATTCCTTCGGTTTGTACAGGTGGTTTAAAAAGTTATACATATATAGATTAAATATTGTGCTACATATTTATCAGGTTTGAATACGCCGCTGACCACAGATACAGCTATTTATTGCTGTATAATGTTGAGGATGGCTTGTTAGGCCTGCAGGTGTATATTGTCAAACTAGATGTCTAATAACGTTTATTTCAGTTAAGACACATTGTTCTGAGATCAGGTGACGTTCTTTAGTTTAAGAGGATTAAATATTAAAGTTAATATTAAATACTATTATTTGGTATTTTCTTCTACAGTACTCCGGTATTAGTAGCGAACAAACAGGTATTGTAAAGGATCTTATCTTCGCTGCGTCCCAGCACTGAGCTGGTTAATTAAAATAATCGACTGGGCAGAAAATGCCATCATCCGAGTAATAAGCTTAACATTATCTGTATTAAAACCTGCAAATTTCAGGTCGTATTTTTTTCCTCCAAAATATCATACATTAGTAGGGCACACAGTGTAGACATATTCAACGTGCCATTTACGGAAGTGAACGTTAGTAAATGTTATTTTTCTTCCAGCCATGCATTTTCCAAACACTTGGATCAGATAACGGGGAGCACGCCGCACATGCCTGCAGTACAGTTGGATGGGATGGCGCCCATCATGGGGCACACACACATGCACACATAATCGAATACTATAGGGGCAATTTACAGATGCCAGTCAGTCTAGTTTCCTAACTTTGTATGCAGCGGAAACTCTAATAATCACGGGAGAATATGTGAACTCCATACACAAATGCGGAATGCACTATTTTAACTTTAAAACGTCCTAATATTCAGAGGATTTTATACTTTAACATTTCAGGTGCTTAATTTTCTATTCCCTGAGACGATCTTATAGCGTGTGGGTGGTCTCCATATAACAAAATGTACCCTTTATATGGTCACTTAAATATAAGGCACATATATGTGGCACAAATATTAACTAGCGCCCAAATGTTGGTTTTTAAAACTACATATCCCATGTAACCTTGCGCGACACTGCATGTGCCCGGTAGTTCCTGAATAATCTGGTTTTCCACGTTGAGCAGTTTCTTTTTTACGTTCACAACTTGCCTTGATTCTGTCGCTTCTTCGTACCTGACGGCATGCTGTCATTAACGTTACGACAACTTGTACGGGTAAGTATCGGCATTTTCATTTGCGTTTCCACGCATTTCTGCAGACCCAGATTAGTAGATAGTTGGTAAATATGGCCATTCGCACAGATGCACATGCTAAGTAGCCGCATGTTGTGAACAAAATGAAGACCAGGTTGTACTTTCAGTAAGCAGATAATTACCGTTAGTGCCTTATATTAGATACTAAATCGATATATCCAAACGACGAGTTCAAACGAGGTGACACAGGCTTCCTCTCAATTTTAGTGCCACAAATTCAACTGCTGGCCTCATAAATATAGGTTGGTAGTTATTTGCTGAATACACAAGTTAGGTTGTCAATGCATATGAACAGGGCGATTTGTATCAAGTTCGCAGCTTCTTAACTACTTTCCTGAGGTCCTTTTTGCAGACGAAGGCGTTCATATCGGACTCGGTGCAGTCCTATCTGCCAGCTCCATTTATCTCACTATGTCCCATAACCCATGCAACTTCCAAACCTGTCCTTTTTTTAACCGAGAAAAGTATCTTGTGTGGTTGGCCAACTTTGTAGCCACTGCAGTATATTGTCCCATTAAGAATGTATAGGAAACGAACAATATACTTATTGTGGGAGGTAAATGGGGGTCCAGTGTGCAGATGATGCAATTGCGTTTGGGAGGTTTCATCATGTGTGTGTGTTCATGTGGCAGGTTCATGCTGCCAGTTTTACACATTATTTTCTGGGTCTTGAAATATTTATTCTTTTACATTTACATCATGTTTACATTTTAATTAATGGCTAAATTGTTAGTTTGCGCACATCGTCAGTATAGTTAATCTGTATGTAAGTCATGCCTATTTGACGTAGTTTGTTCCGAGAATAATCTACATAGGCAAGCAAAAATATAAAGTGTATTATTACTTGTGTATACCAGGGCAAAGTACGCCTGGCGCTTAATACAAAGAAGTACTAATCTATTGTAATAAACCCACAGTTTATGTGCCAGCGTAAATCGCAAACAATGTCAGTTGCGGAATAACGCCTTGCATTAATTCGTCTCGAAAATATAATTATTCCTTCAGAAGTCGGAGTGTTTTTTCCCTCCTGTCTGCAGAGTTCGGTTCCACAAATGTTTGCAGAAATTAATTCGAAGAGGTCATCTAGTCAGGTGATTCTGAGCTGCACAAGAAGGAGCCACGTTCTGCAAATAATCTACAGTTCCATGAGGGGTTTAGGTATTCTGCTGACCAGTGACCTGAGTTGGTTCATCTTGTTAAGCAGGGCTGGACTGGGATTAAAAAATCAGCCCTGGGGTCTGTACTACGAAGCTGGTTTACTGGTTTGTTGGGGTAACCCTGCTTTGTAGTACAGGCCACTGGACTTTACGGTCCTCTATGGTAAATTTTACAGAGGGGGGAGATCCCCTTGATAGATTATTGCCAGCGGTTGCATAGGGGTGGTAAATTTACAGAAACTTTATGTTCCATGGGAAGTTAAGATGGGGAATTTTGGAAGTATTCCAAGTTGGAAACTTTCCATGGGAACTACCAGGTAATATATGGGTTGGTGTTAAGGACCCACAGATATGGCCATTCCCCTGAGGCTAGGCTCAAACCGGCAACCTTCTGATCACAGGCATAGAGGCTTAACCCGCTGTGCCCCACATTACCCCCTAAATAAGCATCCTGTACTACCAGTCATATGAAAGTATATCACACACAATTATGTACAGAACATAATAATCTATAACGGTAATAAACAGCTGTTACTGGTTTATATATTCACTATCCATTTTATCGTTATTTATGCTATCCCGTATAGCCTTGGTGCCTAGGCTTTGCCAATAAGATTTATGTGAGCACACTCTAAGATGTTGTGCAACGTTGCACAATGACGAAATCACCTGACAGCATATTTCTCAGAATGCATCCTCTTCATTAAGTGACGCTTGACTGTATAAACAGAAAAGCGAAGCCGTCAGATGCTGATGAGAGTCACTGCACTTCACAAACACACAGGCTGCAGCCGACCTTGTTGTGGTGCCCATGGAATGTAATTGGCTGGCGTGTTTGCATACTCCTTAGAGGTAATCAGTTCAGCATGCTGTGTAATGTAATTTAAAATTGCATGAGTGGGGGGGGGGCAGTGTGTGTCCTTGATCTGTCTTTCCAGACAGGTTTATTCCTTTGTGGTCTCAGTTAGTGTGGGGTAATCGCTTGCAATGAAGTTTCACAGCTTTTGAAAGATGCTATGCTCCTGTCCGCAGACTATGCTTTAGATGTGTCCGTTGTCACAGTGCAGAATGGTGTGAAATGCGTAAAATAGCTTCTATATATTAATACCGACAGGGAGTGTGTCGCGCACTTGCCGGTAGGCGCGTAGTTCATGTGGAATCTGTACCCCCTCCTCTCCTCACCTATGTGCTTTCATCAGTCCCGCTGGCACGTACTCATTCACGCAGCCGATTTAGTTGCCTTGGAGGGGTCAAAGATCATAGCTCAGCTGATCCAATGAGATAAACAGCCTTGGTCCACACCCCCCCCCCCCCCCACAAACCCGTTTTGCTCTTCTCTAGGTGTCTGGCAGGCAGGCTTGACAATTCGGCGTGAACCTCTGACCTCATCTGCATAGGAGGTCCAAGGCCAGTCCAACCTGGATGCTGATATTAAAGAATAACTGCCTGTTTGTAGGCTTCTTTTGCTATGCTGCGCGACTGGTCACCCATGCAAAATTCGCTCCCAGATTAAACAGCCCTACCATTTAGTGCCTTTTCAGGAGGAAGCTCGATTTTGGACATGTGGTTCCTAATCAGGCATGACTCAGGGCTGACAGTAACCTGACGTGCACTCGTTAGTCCTTAGACTTCTTGAGGCAGCACCATGCGTTTTGTTGGCCCATGATCTGATGAGCGAGCATATCACTGTTTTACTAATCCAGATATCCCTTCTCTTAACTATGGAATCCTTCAGAGATTCCTTTCAACAAGTAGGGGTCTTGTTTTGTTGTGCTCTGTGGTAGCCAAATAGGGATCCAAGGAGAGGGATATATTATTATTAGATTGATGGATACCCAGATATACATTATTGATCCTAAAGGGAAATTCAGTTACATACAGCCGGAATGGATGATGAAATACACAGTTATGTATGTATAGTAAAAGAACAAGACAAAGTATGAGACAATATGTGTAGTGCAGCATGGTTGTACAAATGAAAAAATGGGTCACTGAGGGAATATAAATTAGGAATGGTGTATTTGTAATGTGCATAGTCATAAATGGATACGTAGCGGGAGGTACTTTGCTGTCCAGGAGTGTTCTATGGATGTGGTGGGGGCATATATGTCGGGGG